GGTGAAGTTGGATTGGATCCAACCTAGTGTGTCACAATAATCAATACACGTCCATGGGTGTGACGATGCTCCTCGTCTCCAGACTAATTGGATTTGTACAGCACTGTGCCCCTGTAGAGAAACGCATGGTCATCACCACCACTTCTAGAGCTGCTCTGGATCACCGCCACCACATTGAAGCTCACCTTGCCACTGGGTTGAGCAGAAATGGCTCCAAAGTGATAGAGCAAATCAGTGACCTCATCAATCTCTCTGCTCGTGGGTGATGGCCAACCCTGCAAGATCTTCTTCCCTGTCCCTTGTGAGATCTTCGTCCCTGTCCCTCGCACTGCCCTTCTTACCTGGCCGCTAGGTACATGTGACTGATCCCAAACTCCTGGTGGAGAATTCTCATGGCCTTGAGATCTTCTCGCTGGTGATGTTGCTGCTGCTGCTGCTGTGACTCCGACTCCGAATCTCCTCTCTCTCCTCTCTCTCCTCTCTCTCTCTCTCTCCAGCCACTGCTGTTGTTTATCATAGTGGTGTTCAAATTTTGTATCCTGGATTCACATGAGAATGACGTAATAGCAAAGAGCAAGACTTACCTGTAGCATTAAGTCGACTCTACCATTGGGACTTCTAGATAGCCTTTCTGCCACCATACTACCGTAAGAAACTGTGACAAAACCATGCCCCAACCGAAAAATTTCCTCTATCTTTGATAGCAAAACTTACAAACCACTATGATTACCTGTACCCCGAGATATTCACTGACTTTCTCCAAAAAGAATAGATATCAGAGGTTCCACTTTGTAATCAAGACGAAAGGATAAATGTAAACGGTGCTAACAAAAAAATATATTGATACCTGTAGGCAACAGGATCATATGGGTGAAATATGTTCATCATTTGCCTGCATGTTAGCTTTTTTTCTTCAATGCCTTCACCTTCCCAGTACCTTAGCTTTACTAGGAAATAGAGTATACCCAAGATAAATAAATCTTTTTTTCTTATTTTATAATATTGATTGTATACAAGGTTAAATTTATCTAAATTTTGCTACTATTTGTATCTAAAGAAATGCACAATAATGCAATAATTTAATGATGATTAAAAATGACCTTATTTTCCCAACACTTGCATTATTATCTAATTGCATTATTATGCATTTCTCTGGAGATGAATAATAGTAAAGAATACAATCAAAATTTCTAACATTGTAAAATTAGAAAAGAAGATCTATTTTTCTTGGGTATGCTATATCTTCCAGCGGAGCTGGGATCTCTGCTAATATTCATAAATAATGTTCTCAAAATGGAATTAAAGATGCCAGATGCTATATGCCAATAGCACTTTTAAATAAGAGAGTATGATGATGATGATGATCAATGATTCGAGAGAGAAATGACCTCATGTGGAGATGGTCAATTTTTCTAGCAACTGTGGAATCATCTTTTGTAATGGGCTCCTTAGCCGGCTCCACTTCTATCCTGGAGGTTATAACTAGGCATTATTACATTTATTTTGATACAGACCTCTATTAATGGTTAATAAATAGTTATATAAACAGAACCATTAGATTAAGAAAGTTAACGGTTGTGTATGTACTTGGTAAAACAAACCTTATCCATTAAAATAAATTATAATAAAATCTGGACCATTAGAAAGCACAAAGCAATATAGGAACCTCATTCAGCGTGGAAAGCTGGTGCGCCGTGCTGCGGATGGCGCCTTCGAACGGCAGCAGCGCATCGTTGATGGCATCGAGGCCGGCGGCACCAGCGCCAGCGCAAGTGGCACTGCCAGCCATGACGAATCCGCACGCAAACCCTAGTCCAAAAGCCTGTACTTTTTTTCATTCTCTTTTTCGCCTTTAATTCCGTTGAACCGGCCGGCTGGCTACCACTCTTCTAGGGCGTGGGCGTCGCGTGTATATGGCACCGGCCGATCACCTCGTCGTCCAGCCAGGCCTTCAAAGGGCCCTTGACTTTCTTCTCTCGTCTGGTAGAAAACAATCCATCATCTTGTTGTAGCCACACTCCAAATCCACGCAGATAAGCTGGACAAGCTGTTTTGCGGGCCTGTTCCGGTTCATGAAGTTCTCCGCCTCAGATCCCTTCTGATTCAAGGTGTGTGTGTGTGTGTGTGTGTGTCTGCTTCCGTCCCCACCTGAACTCGCTCGTGTCACCAAACAGGCCATGGGCAACAAGAGCTCAGGCAATCGGATTCAATGGGCGTTGCAGCTGCCATGCTCTTCTTTCTCAAAGAACTCAAGGGCGTTCTAATTCCTAGGGAGCTGCAGCCTCTCTTCTTGGCAGCCACGAGTAAGTCGGAACATTTTCAAGCATCTAATCATTGCTCGCTCATACCAGGAGTTTTTGCCGTTAATTGCCGTCTGTATGTTCTCCGTATTCTTCTGGCCCGGCTTCCCTACACTAGCTTCCAACTCGTAAAATGCTTGTTGCGTGTCCTGTTGAAGATACACGAGCACAACATGGAAAGGATATCGCTTCTGAAGCTGGCAATTTTAGTTGGCCCTTTCCTTATCCAATCAGAGATGAATGGAACCGATGCTAGCAGGTGGCATTCTACACACGAGCATCAGAAATTGTCTCTCACTACTGGTGTCATGACAGGCTCCGTGCCGTGACAATGTTTGCAGTCGTACTGCTGAGGGAGCAACAACATTTGTTCTCCACCAGTCAAGCCATGAGTCACAAGCTGCTTAGACTTCAGGTAGATACTTTACAAAAATGCAGTGCCTTGTTGAAAGTTCCAGATGCCTTGCAACAAGATGAAAGATAAAAAACCAGTGCAGGTCCACTCCAAGCTCTATTCCAGTCCTGGAGGAAGGTACTCCTGTCCTGTGCTTCTTGTGCTCTTACGACACTTGCATGCACAGGCCTTTCGATGTGTATGGGTCATTTAACCGGAATATACAACTGCCGGGCCTGTTTGGCAATCAGGTCCCGAGCTTCAGCTGCAACCGGAAGGACGGGCTACTCTCTTCCCTTAGGCAGCACTTGCCAGACTGCAATACAACGCATTCCGCTGCCATATGTGAGCTGAGAGTTCGTCCTACAACAGAAAACAAACTTTTGAGCATAAGAAATGGCAAACACGAGCTTCTGAGAATTCTCTCCAGAAAAAAGTTTGCGCCCTTGCCGCGTGCCAGACGCAAACGCATGACAAGGTAACTGAATAACTCGTGCTGCATGGCTGGGAACGTATTAATGTGTTCTTCTACAGGAGATTTTGTCAAACTTCAGATGACTTCTACAATTCGTCTCTGTGGTGCTCAGGCACCAAGCAACACCGGCAGACAGCCGCCCAGCAGAGCACGCTAGCTCGCCCGGATGAGCCGGCTACGCTCTTTCCAAGCACTAAGATTTATAATACTCTATCGCCTTCGTCTGACCCAACTTGCGAGCAAGTTCCTCCGGCACCCCCACCTTCCAGACCAAGGCCACCCCCGCCTCCACCGCCTCCACCACCCCCACCACCACCGTTGCCTCCACCTTTCCCCCTACCACCCGGAGCTTCGCCACCAGCTCTGCCCTTGCCGCCACGAACCCGAGTTGTCGAGAGTGTTCCTGATGTGGAGAGAAAGCCGAAGCTCAAGCAGCTCATCTGGGATAAGGTAACACCAAAAGGAACAATAGAGACCGTGTGGGCAAGAACGGAAACGGATGGTGTTAGCGTGGACGTGCAACAGCTTGAATCGTTATTTTCTCTAAATGCCCCCCAGTCAACTGCGAGTCAGAATGTGAGACATCTATGCTTCTCTTTATGTATCCTTTCTTTTTGTCTTTCGCAGGCTTCACCCAGGGTATCAAAGCCGTTGAAAATTCATTTGATTGATTTTAAACGAGCTCACAACATCAGCATTCAGCTGTCCAGCCTGCGAAAGCCTTTTGTAGACCTTGCCCGGGCTCTGAATGCAATGGATGAACAGCTTCTGACTACTGAAGCTTTGGTTGTCATTCACCGGACTCTACCCACTAAAGGAGATATTTCACTCCTCGAAGACTTCACAGGGGAAGTATCCCTCCTTGCGGATGTAGAGAGGTAGTCCTCTATTTCTCATTTCTAATTCAGCAGCTTGGTCCTCCAGGTACTATATGGACATAATTAAAATTCCAAGAGTTGAAAGGCGGATTCGAGTCTGCATATTTAAGCATCAATATAGCAGTATTATTCAGGTGGGCTCTTTCGTCTGAGAATAATTCTCACCTATTTTACCTCACAGGTGAAACAAGACTTTGAATTGCTTATACGAGCATGTGTTCAGCTTAAAGAAAGCAAGACCATTGTGAAGATCCTTGAGATGGTTCTAGCTGTGGGGAACCATTTAAATGGAAACTCGTATCGTGGGGCAGCTAAGGGTTTTAAACTGGATACCTTGTTAAAACTCATGGATGTTAAAGGCTCCAATAAGAAGACTACGTTACTACACTTCGTGGTATCGCAGCTTTATAAAAAAGATATGCAGGTACGTAACACAGCCTCTTTGTACAGAATCAAGATTCGCATATGGTAGCAGGTAAAGGGACTTTCGGATGAGCTAAGGGACGTTAAGCTGGCAGCAAACTTAAGTCTGGAAAGAATGCAGGAAAACCTTAGGGAATTGGAATCCGGTCTACGAACAGTTGATGAAGAGACAAATGTTTCCAGGAGCGATATAGTGGTACCTTTCTTCCAAGAAGCAAAAGTAGGGATTAGTGAGCTTAAAGAGCTGGAAATAAGAGCAATGAGTAGCTACAGCGATCTAGCAGTATATTTTGGCGAGGATCCGCTGGCTGAAAAGCAAGCACACCTGTTCTCAACAATGAAGAAGTTCCTCAATATGTTTGACTGTGTGTGCAAAGAGATGGAGAAGGACGCAGTAGTTGGATCAAAGACTTTGCTCAAGTCTGTCTCTGACGTTTCAAAAGATCCTTTGGACTATGAATCGGACTGGTCGACTTGTTAGTTACTTATAATCATTAATGTCAGGCTAATGAATTAACAAAACCTAACCCATGAGGCGCGTCTTTCTGAACATAATTCCTGCCCTTCTGACGACTGACAGAGTTCTAGGAAGCCAAAAAATAGAAGAACAAATGGATAGAGAGTCAGAGGTGGTGTGGGCTGTTGTATCTCTGGTTGTAGCCACTGCTATTGTATTACCTCTGCTCTATCGCCTAAGATTACCCTTCAAGGGACTAAAAGTTCCTCCAGGATCACTTGGGGTACCTTTCGTCGGAGAAAATATCAGCCTCAAAGTCCACCAACACGATTTTTATGTTTACAGGATGCAGAGGTTTGAACTCTAAACGAAAAAACTGGTTTTCATATTGCTACATGCAGATATGGGAGGGTTTTCAAAACTCACTTGTTTGGACATCCTTCGATTGTTATAACGACTCCGGAAGCTGCAAAATTCGTTCTTGTTGACCAGGCAGCTTGTTTCCGCCAACGTGGATTGCCAATAGTTGAAAAACTTCTTGGAGAGTCTTTCTTTGGCTACCAAAATCATAAACTGCATCATAGATTAAGGAAGCTTATGCATCGCCCACTTCTCCCAGAGACCCTTCCTTCTTCTATTCCTCTTATTGAAGAGCTGGCGCTAATGGTGATGCGGACATGGGAAGGAAGATCTATAAACGCTTTAGACGAGGCAAAGCAAGTCAGTTTTTACCTGACTAGTATGTTGAGATGCCAACTTACTGTCACAAGTGTCTCATATTACAGTACGCATTTAAAGTCGCGATGGAGTTTATAATAGGAGCTGCCCCACAGCATGAGAAGGAGGAATTGTCGAAAGCGTGTGAACATCTGGTTCGCGGTGTGAGCTCGTTGCCAATCAACATACCCGGAACAAATTACCACAAGGCTCTAAAGGTACTGAAAACGAAAGACGCACTGAACAGCCTCAGGTTTGTATTCAGGACAGCAGGAAAAAGGCCTGTGCACTTATAGATAAGATTATAAGCTGGCGAAGGCTGGAAAGGCGGCCCCCGAGTGACATTCTTGGGATACTGATGGATGTTGAGGATGAAGATGGCACAAAGCTCAGTTCCAAAGATATTCATGACAACATTTTAACTTTACTTTTTGCTGGGCATGATACTGTTGCTGCAGCATTGACCTGGATGCTGAAAAATTTAATGGACCACCCAAAGCTTTTGGAGGATGTTACTGTAAGAAGATATGCCAGCCATTAAAAGCCATCACATATTTGCTTGGCAGGCTGAGCATGAAATTATTCAGCAAAAGAAGTCATTTCCCAAAGAGACCCTCACGTGGTCTGATATTACTGACCAGATGCCTTTGTCAATTCGAGTAAGTGCATGACGTGGACAACTTTGGACTTACCTTTATCATCAGGTCGTGAAAGAGACTCTGCGAGTCGCAAATTTGACTGATTTCTCCTACAGAGAAATCGTTGAAGATGTTGAATATGGAGGTCTAACAGAATACTATCCATCCACAAACATCACATTTACCAGATTTTGTTTGTCTTTCCCAGGTTTCATATTTCCCAAGGGCTGGCGGCTTCTAGTTGCACACTGGGTGTTTCACCTCAGCCCAGAATACCATCCAAACCCAGAAGAGTTTGATACTTCTAGGTTCAAGGTAACGAGTATGAGATGCTCAAAATGTTAGTGCTCAACACAAATTGTTAGGTGGCACCAAAACCGTACACATTTACGCCATTTGGAAACGGTGCACACGTCTGCATGGGACGAGAACTCGCAAATCTTGAGCTTCTCGTGTTCGTGCATCACTTTACCCTGAGATATAGGTATGACGGGTGAAGGGCTTCTGGTTTTGAACCTGTTTCCAGGTGTGAACATTGTGGAGCTCCTGATGGATCAGATTTTGCACCCATACATATACCAAAAGCTGGCCTGCCCATTAACGTTAGGCGCAGGTGAGAATAAGATTTGTTGAATCCTGTTTCTGACATGTGGTCTACAGGAGAAAAAGGTCCCTTGTGGATCAACCATGGAAAGAATAAAAACTAATAACATGCGAGTACAAAAATATTTGTTTACAAAAGTAGTCAATCATTGTGTTCCATCAAGAATCGAACATACCATATCAAAATGTACGAGGTTAAAATGGTCAATTGACTGAACTATCTTTGTGGTCATTACCAGTCCTGACCCTTTGACATTCAAGAAGGTTGTAGGTTTGTTTATGAATGCATTAGCATAGGGATTTATCTCTTTTAATAATTTATCAAGATCACGCATTAGTTGCTCATTGCACTTAGAGTTGTGTTTGTTTTTTATTCTTATTTCTGTTGCTTGAGCAGTATCCAAACATATAAATGTGACTATTTTTCATTATTTGGTTTGAAACTTCCAATATTATGTTAAATTTGTCCATATATCTTAAAATAATTAGGGCCACCTACTGGAATCTCTTTGATGTTTGATGCTACACTACTATAATTTTGTATTAAACTAGCTGGGATCCCAGCTCCGCTGGGAGAAGTACAAAATATTTTGGACACATTGAATTTTTAAGCATTTTAGCGTCAAGAGTAAGCATTTTAATATTAATTCAGTTGAAAGTTATAGCTGTAAGCTCTAGAAAGAAAGGCTTTGTAATTAATCAAAACTGGCTTCTTTTATGTTACAAGTTTTGTGCTTGAAATGAAAGCAAATGCCTTTCTAAATTCATCATCCTAGAGATGGAACATATGATATCCATAATTAAAAGTTACAACATCTACTTGAAATCTTGATATCAAGGGAGGGTGTTCTAGCATAACCCACCTGGTTTTAAATCAAAGGACCAGGATAAAAACAGAAGTGTTCAAAGGCTTGCTTTTTATTCTAGATTTCCTGTCCAAGTTTTAACCAGTGAAGTTCTACAGAATCTTAGATTTTTTCAGTGACTTACTGTAAAGTGGCAAAAAGAAATTGAAGAGAGGTGGTGGAAGTTTACTGAGGACCCAAGCAGCTTTATTCTACTCAACATGGATATTGAGTTCAGAGTCATTGCCTTTGGAACACATCAAAGTCATTCTTGCAGAGGAACTTCTTGCATGCTCTCTTTTGATCACAAAGCATTTGATGTTAAGAAACTGCTAAAAGAGAGAAAGAAATGCAAAATCTAAGACATAATAGTGTTAGGCCATAAAATATAACTTTTTGACCAAAGCAATGCTGATAAGTGAGATCTGTGAATTTTAGTTTCCTGTTGTGCAAACTTGAAAATTTGGGAGTTAAGAAATCCAGACTTTTATAATGCAAGAAAGAGCCAAACCATATAAAGTGAAAAAGAGTTGGACTTTTGTAAATCTTTGACGAAGGCAACACAGATACATGAGACCTGGTGACTCTTTAATTTTCAAACCCGCAGGGAGAACAGAGGTAAGATTCCTTCCAAACCATGAAGAAAAATCACAAATGCATGGCTTGCACTCTCCTGCTCTTGCTTTTGGTTGTGCCTGCCATTGTTTTTCTAGCCCGCCATCACCACCACCGTTCAGCCAAACAAAACCCACCAAGCGAAGAAGCTCTGGAAGTGTGGGACGAAGTCTCCAAGCTCTCACAGCATGATCTTAAGTGTCTGGCACTCTTCATCTCCCCACTCACCACAATCTCCACCAAAACCTATGGATGCCTGCCTCCATCCCCAGCTGGAAGCCATCCCCAAACTTCCAACACTTGAGCCCTCCTCAGACTCCAAAGCTTGGGGCCCAGTGTACAAGGAAGACACCACCTCCGCTAACAAACACCTTATGGTTGTGTTCCGGGGCACCTCCACCCAGGCAAACACATGTGTCAATCAGATCCTGTTTGGAGAGCTACCAAGGACGTCACTTACAAGTCTGAGCTCTTGCCTCTCCACCTATTCCAACCAGACCTTGACTACATCTCCCACAATGTGAGCTACACACACCAAGTTGTGGAGGGGTGTCCAAACGCATCGCTTCTACTCATTGGTGCCAGACTCACAGTTCTCATCTAGGCATTGCTCGATGGACTTGCTGCTGTTGTTGCTGTCAGCAGCCTGGGAGCTGGAGGCTCGCTGCAGTTGTGGTCCTTTCAGCTCTCTTACAAGATGAATCGTAATATGGCTGTGATTGGAAACGGGTGGGATTCCGTGTTCACGGTGTCATGGGTTTCCCCATGTCATTAAATTCCCCGTATTCCTTTTACAAAAAAATAACTGAAACAATAGGGCTTACCATCGTGTTAATTCCTAGAACACACGTATTTCAATTTTTTTTACACCAATTCATACACTTCCTGTCATCCTCAGAATAGATCTTGGATCCTTACAAGTTGTTTAGTGGTGATCTGTCATGAGAAGGGAAGAAGGAAATAAATAAGATGACCCCTAAGTGATCCAGAGAATTTACTAAACGATGTGTTCTGTAAGATCTTGAGATTCGAGAGAGTTACACAAGAATCCAACGCCGAGATGAGTGTCAGCTTGTCCGATTTCACTCCCTGGAGTTGCATATGAATGAATACTCTGGCAGCCGAGCGATCATCGTCACAGCAAGAGAAAGAGGACAGCAGCCCATTCCAAAGAAGAGCACTGTAGCCACCGGAAGAGAAAGAGACTTGATCAAAAGCTTGTCTCACTTCGTCCAGGCTTCCACAGGCCCTGTACGCGTTCATAAGAGCTCTCCCCAAGACCTTGTCGATCTCCACGCCACTATCTCTCACAGCTTCGTGGATCACTCTCGTCTGATCCAGTCTCCAGCAAGCATCTAGCATTGTCACAAAGGTCGCCATAGAGATGAATTCAAGCTTGCTGAACTTCTTTTTATTATACAGCCTTCATGTAAAATTAGATCACATGTTTTCCTCTTTCTTTTGCCACCCATTGATCTATAGGAGATTTTACAATCTTTTTTAGAAATAGAAGCTTAGACAGCGTGTGTAGGCTCTAGATGGTGAAAATAAGTAAATAGACAAATAGCCAGACCACAAGAAAATAGAAGCACACTGAATGTTGCCCTTAGGACTTTCTAATTATCTCTCAGAGAACACAGAAACAAAATTACCTCTTGACAAATGCATAAGGCAACCTAATTGTGTAGTCCTTTTTTCTATGATTCGAAACAGTTTTTCTTAACCTACGTGTCTATTAGTTACACTCTCAAAAAGCCTTAGACAGTAAAGAGGTTTACCACAGCTTTTTAAGGTAATATTGTGACATTGTAATAATCTTATCTAATATTGTGATAAGTGATTAGAGGAAATAACATCCCCTTCAACCACGACATCAGAAATGTGAACTTTGCAATTTGTTTGATTCTAACATACAGTTGCCATCATAGTCCCATAAACTAAATGTGCCCAGAGGCAATGTGATCCCAGAGCCAGCCAACGCAGATCCTAGGCTCTGCCCTTGATGCTCATGGCAATCCGCTGCAATTGGAGGGAAAAGAGAAAAAACTCAGTTAAAACTGGATCTTACAAGTACAAAACAAAACAAAGAAAAATGCTACCTGTACACTGGTTTGGAGAGCTTGATCAACGTATTTTAGTGGTTGTTTCTCCATTTGAAGAGTTCCCCTGCAGGATAAAAGTTTATTGCTAAGCAAACATGAGTCGCAATCTGCAAGGAAAAGGTCAATTTAGAAAGCAAGATCAATCCCCTGGATCTTACAAGTACAAAACAAAAAAAAGAGAAAAATGCTACCTGTACACTGGTTTGGAGAGCTTGATCAACGAATTTTAGTGGTTGTTTCTCCATTTGTTTAGGATTTAGGGTTTAGGTTTAGGGTTTAGGGTTTAGGATAAAAGTTTATTGCTAAGCAAACATGAGTCACAATCTGCAAGGAAAAAGTCAATTTAGAAAGCAAGATCAATCCCCAAATCTCTCTTTCAGCACATGCGCAATTAACCTGTTCAAAAGATCAGTGCAAGTTTTAAGTCAGAAATATCACATTGTTTCTGCTGATTATGACGCTCTTATCCATGCTCTTCATGGCAAAATACTGGCAGGAACCTTTCAACTCTACTAAATGTACACTTGCATCACAAAAAGGCTTTTTAATCCCATATATAAGAAACGACTATGAAAAAACTCACCTTCCTGTGTTACCACAACCAAGAGATTTGACAGGCCAAAAATGGTGGAGTCAGTTTCTCGCCACTAGTTTGAATCTGCATTTAAAACAAGCAAGAAAACTGGAGAAGTCATCAGACTAAACATGCGCTCATGAATCTTTCTAATAGCATCCCAAGAGTTTAGATAAACGACTTTAGAGTGTTTAGCCCGAAGGTTGTTGGTTGTCTGGACACGAGCAAAAGAAAAATAAATCTTGAACTCCCAAACAGCCCTCTGTTACTCGCTCCTGCACAACAAGAATCAAGTTAGCCACAAAGATCAAGAGAAATGAGAGATCATCTTAAAACCTAGATCCATATGCATGCTGGGAATCTTATTGCAAGCCCTTGGCGTGACAGGATGAGAGATCCAGGAGCACCAGGCAGTCTCTTCGTTGCTTGATCATATATGAGCTGCCCAAGCACGTACTCCTTGTTGTACATAATAAGAGGCAGTAAAATATGCACATGTAAAGAAGCACTGAGAATATGCATACATCTGAACCAGGTCTGCAGCTGGATCATATCTTGACAACACTGTCACCTCCAAACCTCGCCGCATATCTCTGGCCTAAAGAAATCGTCAACAAGAACAACACAAGAAAGAGAAAACGTACCATAAAATTCAGTCTCTTGATCTTCCAAAGTCATATCAAACAATGACATGACCACTGAGTGGGTATAAACATTTTTCCTTTGACAAGACTGTATGACACACACAACATGGCGAACAGGAGGGATTGTACATTTGCATCACAAAAAAGCTTTTTAATCCCATAAATAAGAAACGACTATGAAAAAACTTGCCTTCCTG